AGCGTGTGTGATTGGGTGGGAGGGGGCAGGGGTTGCCTTTTCGCACGCAAAGGGGCGAGGGAATACTAACCCCGTAGTGGCATAGGCACGAAGAAGACGCACGATACGGCCGCCTTCGTGAAGACTTAGCTTCTGATACCCCTTATGAAATCTTCGGACTGTCTGTAGGATCGGCCTAATATAACTTCACGATATCCATATATGTCTTCCCCATAAGCCAGTAAGGTCTCTATTGGATAATTCTCTATATTCATTAGTGGTTTAAACTATATAGATCCCAACCTTTGCAGGGAAAAGCACAGGCGTTGCATCCTCGTCATGGAGTTTCTGGCCGACCCATATATTGAACAACCCTCACCTGTCGAGAAACAGAACGAAGCCATCGCCCTCGAAACGACAATACAGGCCGATGCCTATGCTGTAAAGCAGACCAGGAACCTCGGGCGTATTTTGTATTAGCACTATACTACAATGCAGTTTGCCAGCTATTTGTTGCGCTCCGAAGTCATGAATCTTTGGGCGTCCATGAGGGGATAGACTGGCAGCGGCATAAGCCGCGATAGATATAAGGAGGAATCATTAGAATTAATATATAAAGACATAATTATAGTAAAAGAAGAAAATATTTATAATAATAACGGATATTTCTTTAGAGCGTTATTAATAATTATTCAGGATAATAACGATCTTCTATATAGCTAGTACTATAATATATTTTAGAGCAGGCTATAGCTTATATAAGCGTTATTATAAGCAATAGCGAGTACGTAGCGTGTAGTATAGCGTGTGGCACGGCGTGTAGTATGGCACACTAGTACTACACGTGACAAGTACGTGACTATTAACTAATAGATTTAGATTAGCTACGTCTATTTAGGCAGCCCTCGCTAGGCTCCTTAGCACCTAAGAGAATCATCCTTCTTCCACTACATGATCTGCCTATTTGTGCATCAAGGCGCCCACTCTCGCAGTTCCCACCTCGACCTAGTCCCGGTACTTCATAAGCACCCTCATGTCCCCGTGCTCAGAGAACTCAACACTATCGTACTTGAATGTGGTCTCCCCGGCTGGCAGCACGAAGGCTCCCACATTGCTAACGATCCCCGACACGTCAAGGTTAAACGCCTTGGCAGCCTGCAGCTCATTAATAGCCTCTTGGATCGTCGTGGCCGTCTTCTGAGCGGTGCTGAAGTAGTCACTGAAGTCATCGACCGTGGCTTCTGGACGCTTCACGACCTCGGGCGCACCCTGTTGCTCGGCGTACAGAGATCCGTCCTCCCTGACATTGATGGCCAGTCTGTCGGTGAGGGTGCGGTCGATGTGCGTTGCCGTCTCCTTCTTGGTGCTCCCGATGAGCGGGTCACGGACGTACTCGATCTCCATCAGTACATCCTGCTTGACCTCCAGGAGGTTGGTGCCGGGGCTCGCCTGGACGACGACGTCGTAGTTGTACTGGACCCGGATTGTCCGCGCGCCGGCAATGTGGAACTCTCGCGAACTAGAGTGGTGATACTCACTGTATGCGCTGCCCTCGTTGACGTTTGACCCTTCTGGGGCTTCCAAGTCGCCGAGGTACAGGCCTTCAAAAGCCTCATACTTTGGTGGCTCCACGGTCAGGTCAATATCATAGCGGGTGTTAAAGTATGGGGTGTAGCAGCGTTGGCGGATGGCGTTGACAAACTCGGACGCGATAACCAAGTTTCTGACGTGGTCTCTGTGGGTAGTCACCACTCCTTGGCCCTTTTCAGCCGTAATTGCAAGCGGCTGAAGGTGGGAAGAAGCCATGTCAGCCATGTTATGTTTGCCTACAAAAAAAAAAAAAAAAAAAAAAGGCGTATCAAGACGCAGCAGGGTGGTTGTAAAAGAAAAACTCACATTCCATCCAATATAATCAATCGAAGGGAGAGGTCTGTCCTCTCTACTCATGCACATGTAGTTGAGCGTGTTGAACTTTCGCGAAACCTCGTCCTGCTTCTCCTGCCCAGTCTCAGGGTCACGGTAGAGAGTGACGCCCAGCCTAAAGTCCAGTGGGACCAGCGTCCCCTCGTACACGGTTGATGTGTTGGCTTTGGCTGCGTATCCGAGTACCGGTCCCCTGCCTTCGTTGCCAGCGAGGAAAGTCTTCCAGTACTCGGTAACAAATGCCGTGGAGACAATGTTCTCGAGGTAGCTGTCAGCGAGGTCAAATGATGGCACATCTGCCAGACCCGGCTGCGTCACATCAAACAACAGCTGCTCGATGCTAAACATCTCACCAGACACGGCTGTCATTTGATCCTGGACGGCCTGTGGTAGGCTCTGGAAGTTGACGGTGTTGAACCGCAGGTTGGTCTTGACGTCGAACACCCATGGGGCTGCCGCGTCCTGGTCGAAGCGCTTCATATAGTCTGGTCGTCCTCTCCTGCCTTCCTCTGGTCGGAAAATCGCCATGTCCTCACACAGGAGCTTGAATCCGATGTTGTCGATGCCATCGAAGCGTAGGACGTCGGGTAGGTTCTCCATCAGAGTATCCAGGGTACCATTGGCCTCGGCCTCAGTCTTGCCGGGGATGCCGAGCTTGGCCTCCATGGCTCCAGTGAACTCAAAGTAATGCTCGATGCCGTCTTCTTCGCCGAGGTACAAGCTGAAGATATCGGCCAATCCATCAAGTTCGTCTGTGGTCGTACCGTCTGTGATGTTGAAGAGGTCTGATAGAGCCGTCCCATCGACTTCATACCCAACCATCTGGTCCAGCCAATCATCGTATGTGAGTATGAGTGGCTCTGGGTCTTCAAGGCCTGTTGCCACGTCATAGAGAACGTCTTGGGCAAAGACAACCCTTATAGTCGGCAATTCTTCATCTGGAGCGGTGAGGAGGTAGCGCTTGACGGCCTGGGAAAGCGATGGCGGTTAGCATCAGTAGTGCGCCTGAGTGTGAAACAACTTTCTTGCAGCTATTGGGGTCGACTCGAGGTCTTAGGAGTCATCCCGGGAGCATGAAGAACGGGCACTTACTTCATTAACGCCGAATTCTGTGACGGATACCATGAAGTCCCAACCGCTCTGATGGGCTGCTAGATTGGAGCCCAAAGGGCCAGGCCAGTCGACGTTGGAAGACATGGCAAGTCAACCCACAAATGCTTGAATGTAGTTGAGTTTGTGTCCAGAGAGTTTAATGCTCGCCCTCGATAGAAATTAACCCTAGCGGCTCGACTTTCATTATAGAATAAAGGAAGCCTGCTGCGAAGAAAAGTGAGCTCATATAGGCATCCTCTCTGCCTGCTTGTAGAATTGTTTCTTCTCGCTCGCTGACGTGAGGGCAGTGTGTTCTCGCCGCCTCCGGCCAATTAAGCGGTGATACTACTCCGTATAGACTGCGTCTTGGCGCAGCTCTTCAGCTTTGGAAATCTGCGGTAATACTTCACCGTCAGGGGTAAGCTAGGAATTTTTTGTCTAGGCCAGCTCTGGTAATTTGGCTGCTGACGTGAGGGGCTTCGCCAAGTCTTGAGCCGGTCAGCGTTACATCTGCGGTAATACTTCACCGTCAGGGGTAAGCTAGGAATTTTTTGTCTAGGCCAGCTCTGGTAATTTGGCTGCTGACGTGAGGGGCTTCGCCAAGTCTTGAGCCGGTCAGCGTTACATCTGCGGTAATACTTCACCGTCAGGGGTAAGCTGGGAATATTTTGTCTAGGCCAGCTCTGGTAATTTGGCTGCTGACGTGAGGGGCTTCGCTACGTCTTGAGCCGGTTAGCGTTAGATTATATCCGTATCCGTACATATATTACAGAGAATACCCTGGCCGGCCACCCCGACTCGAGATGTATGTAATAGTGTATGTACCTACCCATGACGATAACACCGGGGCGGGGCCCCAGCCTTGCTAGGCTTTGATTTACGGCCCCTTGGAAATTCGAGAAGACATTTGGGTAAGAACGTGGCGTCGCGACGGTACGGGTAAGAACCTATCATCTGGACCCAGGGGTCCTCCTTATACTTAGTTATATGTTAACCTCCTGGGTAATATAACGAGCTAATGCTATATGTACATCCATACACTAAGTTATCGCTAGATAGTGGCAATGCGTGAAATTTAACAATAGTAAGGTGCATTACTATCAGCACTGCCGTAATATAGCATCTCCTCCAAGTCCAATCAGAGCCACGTTGATAAATTGATTTCCATCATCTTTGTCGCGCATCAAACCCCTCTAGCGGAGAAAAACAAGTCGTCCGGAAAAAGCCGGATGGGCAGTCAGGAGTTAGAAAGCATGCAGTTCCAGAGACATCTTGACAACACGTCTCTTCCACGTGATGGTTGCTCTCCAGTCGACGAAGCTAGAGTAACCGCATGAGGAAATGAGCGTACCTTTATCATCAGTAGTATTATGGTTATTTCATTACACATTGTGAACATCCACGGTGCAGAAGAATGTTTGCATCTCGAGTTAGGGACTTTAAGATCGGCGCGGGCGGAGAAGGGTGGTAGCAGATCAAATCTAGAGATTTGTATCTAAATATATCTGCAAAGTCAGGCGACAAATCCCCATCATTCTAGATACTAAACGTTTCGTCGTTCAGCAAAAGCCAACGGTAGTATACCAAGTACACTACTCGGACGACAAAATATAGTAAGGGTTAACTGTATTTTTTATCAGTAACTAGTTTCCCGGGACACATCGTATCGAGAAATTCAATCGAAGGGTAGACTTACGCATTCCACCAATATTCTCCCACCTGAAATTAATATCCCGCAACGCGTTCGTATGGAGGATATAAGGGCCTTTGCCAGACCAGACCTCTGTATCATCCATCTGTGTCTGGACCAGGTTCTTCATTTCCTCGTAGCGGGCGGCGTACCGTCCCAGGAGTTCGGTCATATTATTTGCGGGGTGGAACTGGTTGATCCAGAAGGACGCAGCATGATTCTGTCGGGCAAAAGTGTCAGCTTAACTTGGTTCATACGTTCATACACGCAAAGACGACATCGGGGGGGGGGGGGGGGGGGGGGGACAAACACACACCGGCCAACCCCACCCCCGGCCTTGTTTGTTTTATTTAAGGTAGTGGGTAAGACGGAATAAAAA